CCTTTGCAGCACAAAGATTGATTCAAAAGATTTCCCTTAGTTCTATCAAGAGCGAAATTTTAGCTACGGGGTACTTCGCTGTACAGTGTTTTTATTAGCTGGACAAAACGAATAAAAAAAATTATTATCTTTTTTGTCTACAGTCAACCCATCTGAAGAAAAACGCGTATGAAACTCTAAGTTTTATGCCTTCTGCTTAGTTAAACTGCGATCTAGCGAAAAACTCTCTGCTTCACGTGATTATTTATCACAAATAATCAAAGTGGTAGTTTGCAATCCAAAGTTACTCTTGGAAAACATTATTGCAAGTGATTTCAATTAGTAAAAATTGTCTTTTGGGGTTCAAACAAACGAACTTTAGACAAAAAAGCATAGCCTAGCCTTAAAATCTCTTTTATTGTTCCGATTTTTGAAGGAAACTGAATATTTATGCTCGATGTGGCTTTTTTATCAGTCAGTTTTCGCCGATCGAAGTTCAACGAAACTTTTTATACCCCATTGAAGATATCGACTTCCTGAGTATCGAGACTTCCTGAGTTCCGGACCAAAGTATGCGCGCTCTGAAGAATTTTTTCTTCCGATTTTTGTAAAGAAAGTAGCGGAATGTTTGTGCTCGGGTGGGTTTTTTCTTCAGACAAATTTCGACTTTTATTCAGCCTTTTTGACGGAATTTTTTTAAATCAATCAAAATTTATTGTTGTCCTGAGCTTAAATTTAAAAAGATTTTTGACCTGTGATCTTTTTTTTGGTAAGTTATGTGGGTTTAAAGACAGCCTTTTTTGCCAATTTGGGACATTGAACACGCGATATATTTCGCGCTATTAACGCGTACGCGGAGATTTATTCCGTCTTATAAATGTGCCAAAATAGTTGAAATAAGCTTATTTGCCATAATTGAAGTGTTACTAGGAGCGAAATTTATCACTTTGTACTTTATATGGTGTGTGGGGGGATAATTTTCCCAAGAAATTTCAAATTGAAAACAAAAAGGTACGTTTTGTTTCCATTACATTTCATTTTCCATATTTTTACTGCTCCATAGACCTTAGAAGTCAGTCAGAACATTCAGGGTTTCGCCCTGATACGAGTAGTTTTGTTTGTCTTTGAAAAGTTTGTTCAAGCGCACACTTGATAGCAAAGTTGTTGCGATAATTGAAAAGCATGAGTCTTTGCATGATCTTTGCTGCCTGTTTCAACTATGCAATTAATTGACTGATTTAACCATTGAAGCAGCACTAGAAGAGCGATAAAAGTTAGTAGTTATGAAAATTACAGTAGGTTGTACGAACCTCGTAGTTCCATTGCTGCTTTTTTTTTGTTATTTCTTTAGTTTTTATCTTTTTGAGTATTTTTGCGTGTATTTGCCAAGCGCAGCTTTGCCTCTGTGTCAAAGACGCGACTGGTATAGAGTTTAGCAAATTTATTGGACAATGTATGAAGTTTCTGAAATTATTTTACCTTCAAATTTAAATTAAATCAAAATACTTCTTTGAATATTCGCGTTTGCCTTTTATTCGGCATTTTATGTGTTTTGTTCGCGAAAGTTACATGGCAAATCGTTGTTGATTGACGAATTTGTTTCAATTTTTTTTCAAGAAGTAAGGACAAATTTTAGTTATACGAAAAATTTCAATCATTTTGCCTTGCTCTTTTGTCAGTTCAAATGCAGTTTTGAAAAATCGGTTGCAGTTTTAACGGCATTTCACTGTCTCAGGGTCAGAAATATTTCAAAAACTTTCAGATGTTTTCCAGTAAATTTGTTAAAAGCTATAGAAAAATTTTTTGGAAATGAATTAGTTTGAGAAACTGAACAGAGTGTGACACCAACCTTTGGTCATAAAATAATACCAAAGAGGGGACCCTTTGGTTGGTGAGGGGTTCGAGTCCTGAGGGGGAGGGGGCGACCGCCTCCACCACCATCCCTGAATTCGTTCCTGTGTTTAGTAATGAAAGGTCAAATGACGCTTAAAACGTGACTGAAATCTGTTTTGAAAATGGATGTTAGTTTCCAGAATTTCCTACGCAACTAAAATTTAATTATTATTCCAGTTTTCTCAAATCAGGTTAATTTTATCAAAAGAAGGTGTAGTTTACAAATTGTTTTTTTAAATGTACCCAATTATAGTGTTGAAGCAAATCGCGTAAATTGTAAACACATTGAAGCAAGCGTTTTACACTTATCAATGCCCTTTTTGAAGTAGAAACGAGGATTGTTTTTTGTCTTTAAAAAGGTCGTTCAAGCGCACACTTGATAGCAAAGTTGATGCCATAATTGAAAAGCATGAGTCTTTGCATGATCTTTGCTGCATGCTTTAACTATCCGAATAATTGAATGACTGAGCTATTGACGAAGAGCGAAGAAAAGTAGTAATTATAAAAATTATAGTAGGTTTTACGAACCTCGTAGTTCTGTTGTTGGTTTTCTTTCTCTTGTTATTTCGTTAGTTTTTAGCTTTCCGCAGTGTTTTTGCTTGTATTTGCTTAGCGCAGCTTCGCTTATGTGTCAAAGACCCGCCTGGTATAACTTCTAACAAATTTCTCGGACAACGTATTGTTTTTCTGAAATAATTTTGACCTTCAAATTTAAACTAAACCGAAATACTTTTTTGAATTTTCGCATTTGTTTTTTTTTGCTGGCGTTTTATTTGTTATGCTCTCAAAAATAGTTTGGCTAATCGTTGTTGAATGACCTTTTATTCAATTGTACCCTCGAAATAAAGACAAAATGAAATTCTCCGAAAAAGCGCAATCATGTCGCATTGCTCTTTTGTCAGTTCAAATGCAGTTTTGAAAAATCGGTTGCATGTTTAACGGCATTTTGCTGTCCCAGGGTCTGAAATATTTCAAAAATTCCAGTTGTTTTCCAATAAATTTGTTAACAGTTATAGAAAAATTATTTGGAAATGAAATAAATTGAGAAACTGAACAGAGTTTGACACCAACCTTTTGTCTGGCCTAAAATAATACCAAAGGGGGACCCTTTGGATGGTGAGGGGTTCGAATCCCTCAGGCGAAGGGGCGTCCGTCCCCACCCCATACCTGGTTCCGCTTCTGTCTTTTGTAATGGAAGGTCAAATGACGCTAAAAATTGTGATTGAATTAAGTTTGGAAAGTGGATGTTAATTTCCAGAATTAACGCAATTAAGATTTATCTTTTATTCCAGTTTTCTCAAATCAGGTTAGTTTTCATCAAAAGAAGGTTTAATTTATATTTTGTTTTTGAAAGAGTTTTTCATCTATTTTTCTCCGAAAATTTCTCATAATTTTCTCATTTTTTTGGTGTGCTTGTTGATTGACACCTGTCGATTTGTCGTATGTTTTTCATACAGCAAGCGAAAAAGAAGTCTAACTAATGAAAAAATTTTTGTTTTAATCTACGTGCCTAGGTTCATTATATATTTACAACTAGCTTACCAATTTGTGGTCGGAACGTTCTCTACTCTTTGGAAAAATGCGAAGTTTTCTTAAACTATATTTAAACACATATCAGTAAAACTAATCGAATCACTTCATGTGGCTTTTATTTTTTGTTCACGTTTTCATTTCTCGTTTTTACATCTCGTTTTATTGCGTTTTTCACTGACGATACTATTTACATTTCAACTATTATGCTACAAAACAAGATCTTACGAAAATGGTAACTCAGTTCGTTACTCTGTTAACATGCAAAAACTTCAGTTCGCTTACTCAAAGCTCGGTCGAGACTTACACTAATATAAATAGCACTTCTCGCTCTCATAAACACTTCTAAGAACAAAGCAACTAATCTGTGTCTTGGCGATAAAACCAAACATGCGAATAAATTTGGAATTTGACAGATATTATTTCGGATTTGTGACACCCAAACAACTTTGAACAAATGTATGAAATGCTTTATCCAATAATATCCCAGTGTTTCTTCCCAAATTAAACCTGGTATATTTAGTTTCCAATAAATTTGGGAATTGATTTATAGAATCGGAAGTTTTAGACTCTTGTTTTCCCAAATTGATCCTTATTGTGAGCTTTCGTGCGTAATATTACTCTGATATTACTGTTGATAAGTATTCATATTTGGCATATTTTAACCTAGCTCCAGAATTAGTACAGTCGCATTTGTTTGAATGACCGTTTATTCATTGTCACTGATCGACGTTATTTTAAAAGTAAGGTTAGAGATTGGTTTAGACGCTGTTAGCATTAGGTTTAAAAATGCTTTCAAATTTGATAATAAAAATAGTCTGAACATCAATGAAACGTTTAAACAAATAAACGTTTTGCCGACGCTATCTTAATTTTTTTTACGAGTAGTACCGAAATCAAATTCATCATTTATTTAGTAATTTAAAAAAGTTGTATGGCTTTGACAGCGTTTTACTGAGACGTCACAAATTTTTCGTAAGCATTTTGAAAATTATGATTGGATATTAATCCTGAATTCGATCCAAATTTCAAATTATTCTTAGTTTTATTGATTGGTATACTGGCTGTCAAACCTTAAATTAGCTGCTCAAAATTGGAAAAAAAAATACTTTTTATTTGTTCATCCAGGAATTAGCTGTCGGTTAAAAGAAAACCAAATTCACGTCAATTATAATTAAATCGCTCTTAAATAACTGAAGGATTTAGAGTAGTTTCCTTCCCCTAAATATATAATATCCTGTTAGCTTATGAAAGGTCTATCCGGTCTGGCAAAATGGATCTTATTTTTTATACAACTTAAAGGATAGAAGAAATCTGTTCTATGTTTTCCAGAATTTAAACCGGCTTTCATTAACAGAAAAAATATATGTTTTCAAGTTTTTGAACCATTCGAGTCATAGTTTTTTTGCATATTTCGTTTTTATAATAATTTGGTTGTAATGACTATTGATCTTAAAGTTTTGGCTTACGTTTATAAAATACGATGCTTATAAATTGCAAATTTATCATGTATTTAACATTTTGATTTTTTTTTAATATCTCATCTGAATCATTTTTTTGCTTGATTTAAGAGATTAAAGCTTGTAAGTGGCAATGATATAACTTGATACATCTTCACGTTAAAGTGAAAATCATCAATTGCTGTTATATTACCATTTTTGACCCCCGAAGCGCTTTTAAAGTGCTTTTTAAGGAGTCTATTTGATTGAATACATTTCCAATCTAAAACGATGAACTACCGTACTTGAATTCAATTGAATTTCTAGTGTTGGATTTCTTTATTCTTCGATTTACTGAGAGCTTATTCTATGCGTCTTAAAACGTTATTTCCGTCTATTATCTAACACAGCGTGATAAAATTAATCAATTCTGAAATTCGGACCCATTTTTCCATATTGATGTACCATCTCTATACATTTTCTCTTTGGTTTTACTCTCACCACATGTTTTATCTTTGATTTCCACCCTCATATAGTTCAAGTCTAAATTGAATTCATTTTGAGAGGTGTTGGGAATTCGTTGAAGCGTACAAAGATGAAATTTCGCCTTTGCCCCAAAATTGAAATTGAATTAACTTTTTAAATGGGGTTTAAAGTCACGCTTGTCTGATTTTAACACCATGAAGATTTTTAAGTGATTAATGTTGTCGACTTGAATTAGTTATGCGACTTGATTTTTGTTGTTGAGATTTTGAAATCTCAACTCTTCGGCTGCTGACGATATTCTATATTTTGATTTTCTATTTGTACTTATCGAAATAGCTGATAGCTTTTGAAGTTCGATTTTTTATGAAAGAACTTGCGAACTTTTACTTGGAACTCAAACAAGTCTTACCAACTTTTACAATTTGAGTTTAACTAATTGTTATATTTTTCCCAAAAAAAAACAAGAACTGCGAGAAAATCATCTTTATCAACAGTTAAAGAATAAATCGCGGGGAAACTTTTCTCCTTGTTGATTTAGTTATCGATGATGGGAAATAATATTTCAGCCAGTGACAACGAACAACTCTTATCTAATCTGAACAGAGTTGTGTATAACCAGCAACAGCAAAGCGGCGGCTCGATTAGTTCGCCCAATCCACTGCAAAATTTAGCACAACTGCAGAGTTATTTAGTGCCTCCTGCGACTAGTAATCACGCGAATAGTGCCGTTAATGGGTACTGTGAAAATTTTTGGTCTCTTTTCCAATATAACTTTTGCCTCCCCCCCCCCCCCTGCAACAAAAAAATTGTTGGCCCAACATACTTGTATTGTGGGGGCTATAACAATAGGGGGGGGGGGGTATAATTTATTTGTATAAAGGGAAAGAGTCCATTTCTGATAGCTTAGATATCACAAGAATATTTTAATTTATCTGAGTTGCGAAATTTTAGATCTTTTGGTTCTTCATATGGATACTTGTGCAAAAATGTCACACAGAAAACTTGTGAACAAATTTTGAAAGTTCTTTCTTTTTGTAAAATGAGAAATTTTCTAGGAAAAAAAGCACATTTAGCGCTAAACAAGTAGAATTTTCTGCTATTGTACTAATTTTGACAAAAAATAGAGAACCAACTTCGTAATTCTGCTTAAACCGTCGTCTGATTAGGTGTTTAGAAAAAATATGGTTGAGAGTTTTGAGCTTGTGATATCTGATACACTTCAATTTTTTCGGATAGCCCGGGAAATGTTAGTCCTTGTAGCTCAAATGCCAGCGATGCTTCTGGGAAGCGAAAAGTTTCCTTCAAAGACCAATTTACCCAACCTCCTGAAAATAACCAGCAGCTGAATTTTACAAATCCAGAGCAGCAAAGTGCTGAAGCTACGTCTTTAGTTGATCTCTCGCAGCCTAGTTGTATTTTACCTCTGCGCCCGTTAGGCCCATTAGTGAAAGGGTGTTGTCCTTATGCCCCGCCCAAATTGCCGGGCAAAAAATCGCACCAAAAGTTAAGTAAGCACCTGCTTAACAGAAATCTCACTCGATCATCTTCACAAACAAGAGAAAAACCATCTTTTCAAACCGCTACTTATGATGGTAATATTATAACCCCGCAAGCTAATGCAGTTAACAATAATGGTGGTACTGTTACCCAAAATTTTATGGCATCATATCACGTTGAGTCAACAAACTATAACGTGAATGTAGTTCAACATTTACAAAATTCTCAATTTAATAGCTCGCTTTCACCCGAAAATACTCCCCAAAGTTACACGAATAACCCTTTTATCAGTAACAGCAGCCAGTTAATGAAATCGAATCGGAGGCCCTTTATTCATTTCGACGACATCATTTCTGATTTCAATACAAAATCGAACGTTTCTTTGTCAAATTCGGATTCAAGTTCATTTCAAAATTCAGTAAACAGCGTTAATTTATCAGCTAAAAATTCGACTTGCAGTTGTGAAAAGTGCAATTCAATCGCACTAAGTCCGAATTGCAACATGAAAAAGAATCTGAATAAACATGATGTTCAGCTTGGCGTGAACAAAAATGAAGAAAGTTCCGCTGTGGAAAAAAATGACGGAAATTTTTTCAACATGACTGAAAACGTTGACACAATCGGCGTGAAAAGAGGAGGAAATTTCAGCATGAACGACTTTGAAGGAATTTCCGAGGGGACAAACTCGCCTGTCTTGTGTTGTAATGACAGTTTTTGTCAAGATTGTAATCGAGATGGTTGCGGTGACGACAATATGGATGGTAGTAATGGTAATAGTGGTGCTGGCGTTAACCCGATGGAGTTGATAAATTTCTTGCTCGAAATGACCAGGTAATTTATAAATACCTAGTTGAAATTAAATCTCGCACCCTTAACATAACCTAATAAATTAGAAAAATCTGTAAAGAGCAGGTTTTTGAGAACACGTATTTATCGGTTGCATTTTTGAATCTTCTGCTGTTCCTTGAAATTCTTTCATCTAAAACTTCATGTTTTTGTCCAGTTTTGCAGCTTAATTAGTTTTTTAAAATATTTTCTGCATTTTGACCGGAAAGAAATACAGTTCCGTCCGCTCAATTGATCTACTTGCTATCCTCCATAATTGAATTACCAGGCAAAGCTTGCAGGTGAAATCGGTCAGCAGCAAAATTTCCTTTGAACTGACTTTGAATTTAAGTCTTAACTGGCATCAAGTGGCTTTATAGGATATTCCAATTTTTAGCTGAATTTTTTATTTTTTGCAGGTTAGTTAGATTCAGTATACGCAACTTCGAGTCGCCATCTTAATTTAGATAACTTATTTAACTTGTAGGTTCTGAAGAATTAGTTGATGGTAGTTAATGTTATTTTAAATCACTTTCATCTTCAGGCGGTTTGAATTTGCTCGTTTATTTAGACAGACCGTTAAACTTCTGACTAGCTTCAAAATTATCGACGTTATCTTAATCTTGTTTCCGTTAAACCACCTACGTTAATTCAAACATTTAGTTTGTAATTGTCTGTCTGAAGAATTTATACTCAACCATTTGGTTTCTGAGGAATTTACCCACTGGTTGCAAATTCCTCAACTAGTAAATTTCAGTTCCGTTTAATTTCAACTGCAAAGTTTTTTCTAATGGTCAGTTTCAGTTTTTATTGAATTTAAAATTGCTTCTTAACAAAGCTTGAATTTAATGTTGTCTCATGGTCCAAAAAAAGCTCTTTTTAAGTGATTGTACTTGCCTTATTCTATCAACAGACTTTTTCTATCGTTTTCCTGAGCAAGATATTTGTTTAATTAGTTAGTGGAAATCCTAATTAGTTAATTGCCAATTGATTTCTAATTAATAATTTTTAGATTGAAGCCTAGGTTCTTTACCAGTCCTCTTTTATATGTGTTTTTTGTATTTTAATAGTAGTTTTGTGATATTATGGCTAAGCTAAATGCGTTATATTGCGATGTAAATTTAGAAGAACAAATTTGTTCACATTTAATTCGTTCACCATAAAAGTTTTCATTCATCTTGACAATTTTTAAGTATATTTATAAAATTCAAATTCATTTGTTGGAGAAAATGGAAAAGAGTCTTATTTTATGGTGTCATTTCCATGTCTTAAAAGCTGGATGTGTAGCAAAACGCAGACAGGTCATAAAGTAGACACGTCATAAGTCAACCAGAATCGAGAAAAATTATAAATTTCGTACGCTTATTTTCTTATCTCGATTCCGATTGGCTTAAGGATTGTCTACTCTATGACATGTCTACTTTTTGACCGCACCCCTTAAAGCTTTTCCTTTTTTTCTTGTTGCAGTAGAGCGGCCTCGCCTGATCAGTGGTGGGAGTTGTGGGATGAAAAGACAGGGAGGTACTACTACTTCAACACATACTCCAGACAGACTGTGTGGCACCGACCGACCACACCCCAATCAGACATAATACCACTCGCTAAGATACAGGTGAGTAGTGAGAATTCGATTGAATAAAAATGTAAGCTGCTTGAAAATTACATGTGCAATTAAGTTACATAAAATGATAGCAGTAGCAAGTTTGTGTGCAAGTAGCCCAAAATGTTCCAACCGCATTCAAAAACAAAAGTGTTAAAAAATTTGATTGATCATGATTTTTTGGAATTTTCGCCAAAAAAAAATGTTTTTTCGATGTGAGATGACAAATCCACATATTTCAGTATGTCGTTACAATGCATTGATCAACCGTTTATATATAAGATATTGAACAATTGTTCATCGCTTAAATGGAGAATCTGAGTATTGAGGCCTTTACCTAGTATTAAGTTTCGAGAGGAAAATCATATCAGTTGTTCTCGATATTGAGAAAATTTATTTGGAAAGGTTTTCAGAATCTGAATCAGCTTGGAGAGTTATTTTGAATTTTTTAAAAGCTTAGTAAAAATGTTTCAACTGGATGATGTTTCTCGTTTACAAGCGAACGTAGTGTGTAAGTATCTCTCGCAAGTAATAATGTTTATCCTACCTAACTTGCAAATAAAGTGCTCATTTGGTGCCGTTTTTGCTATAATCTTGATATGTAGCATTAAAAATTTCATAATATATGTTCTCTGCTTTATTTTTGGCTGGTGTTTAACGGAAGTCAAGTGTCCGTGGCTCAGCGGGAGGATGTGGAATTCTTGTTCAACGCCGGCAATAGTTCTTTTTATATGTTTATAGTATTTTTGAAGCCCATAGCGTTCGCATTTTTTTAGCCTGTATAGTTGCATCATTGGTGGCTAGTGTTCTCACGTTTTAAATGGCCGGTGGCGCAGGTGCGAAAAAATTAGACTCCAAACATCGAGATTGTAGGTTCGAATCCGACACAGCAAATGTTTCACTAATTCGAGGCCCATTTGTTTCTACCTTTTCTCATTTCCTTTTTAAAGCTGCTTTTTGTCGTTTTTTGCTTGTGTTTGCGAAGCAACTATTAATTATGGGGACCCCCGCAACACAAATTCACTTTTTCAAGGACCTAGCAGACCAAAATATTGAATTCATAAACTTGGAGGGTGTAGTATCTGAAGAGATCTCACATGCCGTTAAAACATGCCGTTAAAAAATAGTGAATTGTGAGTTGAATTATTGATACTGCATACAAATTGTAATGTGTAACATAATTTAATAACGATTTTTGACGTGAAACTAAGTAGGAGTCAATAAACGAAGTGATGACGCTAATTGACGTTTTTTGTTTGGTTTTTTTTTTCAATACAAATGATCAAAAATTAATTCAGCTGAAATTCATTTTTCATGATTTGACTTTGATTTTTTTTGAAGTTCATTGGAAATCAATTTGCTAAAAGGAAGGTAATTTATTAAGAGTCAAAGAACGTAGTTCTATTTAGGTCGCGATGAATTTTTTTCGTTTTTTCAAGAAAATTCCTAAAATTTGTCGAGGCTCAAATTTACTTTTTGGCGGTTTGACATGTGATGTCTTCTTGTGTTCATGGCATTTCCATTGTAAAAAGGAAGGCAAATTCCACTATTAAACAGCAAAAGTGTAAAGGTCACGAAAAGCTTGATCGACTTCTATTTTCGAAAGTGGAATTATCAGATTTCCCAGCGAAGTGAAAATTTTACCTATTGATCCAGTTTTCTGAAATTGGGTTAATTTTAGGAAACAAATTGTCAGTCATAAAATGTTCTAGATAGACTTTTCAAGCCATCAAGTTTTTTCTTCAAATTTCAGTATTTTTCTGTTTCCTTTGCGGTGCAATACTTTTCCAGTTGTCAGTTGGCTAGGTTTTTCAGTTTCCTTGAGCTCATTGACACTTTTGCAGCTCTTTGTTGGCAATGTATATAATTGATTCAAATTTGTGCGACCGTCTTGTTGGTTCTGAAACCCGTAATGGAAAGCGCTTCTTTGTCCATAAAGGTCCAAGTCACCTCTCACGGTTATGTTCGACCCCCCGCGAATGAAGTACTGTATAGTGTTGAGCTCATTGAATATTTTGAATTCCATCAGTTTTTCCAATTGTTTGGGCTTTTTTTTATTAGAAAGTCGATACGACCAATCTGTGGTCGGAATAGTCTCTTCTATTTGCACAGGAGCATGCTATTCTTGTTTTTATCAGTTATTTGCCGACCAATATAGATAGCAGTTTTATCCTAAAGAAAGGTGTTGTATTTTTGGGTACTTTCCTGGTAGCGTTTGAGTAAATCTTTTTTTAATGATGAAATTAAGTGCTTAAGCTGTGTTTTTGATTATCGTCATGTCTAGCCCGATTTTATTATGAGACTTCTGAGAATTAAATCGGTTTCCGAAATACCAAGAACTCATGCTGTTTTGGTTTATTATAGCAGACTACAAAACTAATAGACCAATAGAACTGTCAAAAATGATTCATTGGTGTAATTATCCGCCGTTTTCCATTCAATCTGGCAGAGCTATTTTTAGACTTATAATCTGTTAATGGTTAATCGTTTTTTTTCTGGAACCATGGACCTTGTGAGAACTGAAAAGAGTAACATTTTATATTCAATTAACCTTTTCCGTTTCATTAAAAGTTATTGTTATCTTCTTGTTTGTTAATTGGTTGTTTATTCATTTTTCGATTCCAGTCTGTAAAACTTTGATTATTCGTCGTTTTGATCGTGGCTGTTGAACTTGTGTGCCTATTTTACTTCAAAATGATTGGAAAGTTTACCTAACAAAGTGAGATAGCTGTATAAACTATAATACTGCGTAGAGTTCGTATATTGAATGGAATGTAATCACCCTAGAGCAATATTTAATTTAACTCCATTTCTCCCACTATAGTGCTTAGTGCTATTCATTTGGTATTGAGAGCAGTTTTTATGATAAGAGAATTCTGCAATGTAAAAATGACTAAACGGGCAAGTAGAAGGTTAGTTCTACTAGGAATAAAAGCGAGTGGCAACCGTAAATTAAGTTCTAAAAAATTTGAAGTCAACTTGCCGTTAAGACTTTTCCACCCCTCCCTTAGTTCGAATGTAAAGAGATATTTGACCTTCCATAGTTTTTCTGTTTGTTCCGACTTTCGAAGAAAACGGAATATTTATGCTCGGTGTGCTTTTTTTATTCAATCAATTTTCGCCGATCGAAATGATAGTTTTGAATAACATTTTTTATAACTCATTGAAGATATCGACTTCCTCCGATTATTTTTTGTGAAGTTCTTGGGGTTTGAAAATTACCAAATTGGCCATGCTCTGGTCTAAATTATGCGCGCTTTGAATAGTTTATTCATAATGATGAGAGCAAAACGCGAATTTATAATGCGTGGCGAATCATCCCGCGCAACAAAATTGTTCCAAATTGAATTGAAGCTAGCTAATCGGTCGTATTAAGAGTAATGAACGTAGTGAAGACTTCTATCTAGGTCTTGCTGATTTTTTTGTTCAGGAAAAGACTTAAAAGTCTCTTATAACTACAGATGTGCATTCATACATATTGATGCATTTATGAATGCACTTAGGTATATATGCACTTTTTGAGTTAATTGAAATTCATCTGCTGAAAGTGACGCAAATAGCACTCTTCAAATACGAACGTGGAAATGGCGCGAAAAAACGTGAACGATTCGAAATTGGAATTTAATTTTTAGATTTCCAGCGGAATGAAAGTTTTGCATTTTGATCCAGTTTTCTCTAGTTGGGTTCATGTTATCAGAAAAGCGCCAATCATCAATTGTTCAAAGGGAAAATTCAAAGGGAAAGTCAGTGTTTTTTCATGTTTAGTTGCGTTCATTACTCTTTTCCAATCTTCGATTGGCTATATTTATTTTCGTACGACTCAACATTTCACACTTTGGTTTTGTCCAAAATTTAAAGGTTTTCTATATTTTTTCCCAAAAACTATTCGATATGAATGAATTAAGGGACAGTCGGAACATTCAGGGCTTTGCCCTGATATACGAGAAGTCTTGTTAATTTCTGGCGGTTTGAAAATTGCCAGTTAGGACATGCATGCTGTGGAATAATTTATGCGCGCTGTGAAGATTTTTTTTACTATGCTAAAAGATAAACGCGTTTTGTTGTTGCGACTTTCGAGAGAGGGCGGAATATTTATGCTTGGTTTGGTTTTTTATTCAGTCAATTTTCGACTTGTTAATGAAGCGTTTTTGACGGAAACCATCTAAGAGATATTGTTATTTTAAGCTCAAATTCAAAAGTGTATTTCTTATGTGATCCTTTTTCGTAAAGTTACGGGTGTTTGAAAATTGCTTATTTGGCAAATTTGGGATAATTAAAGTGCGATATATTGCGTACTTATAATACGTGTGAGAAGCGAATAATGCGTTCCAAATCGAATTGAGGCCAGCAAATTAATCCTATTATCACAATTCAATACTCTTATCGCACCCTTAGTATTCTACATAGCGTGTGGGGGTATAAAATGAAGAAAAAAAACGTTTTTCTTCAATTAATTTGTCATTTATTCAACCAATAAAACTTTGGCCTTAAGGGCAGTCGGAACGTTCAGGGCTTCGCTCTGATATACGAGCAGTCGTGTTTATGCGTGGTGAATTATCCCGGTCTACAAAGTTGTACCAAATTGATTCAAGGCAAGATAATCGGTCGTTTTTAATTTCGTCCTACAAGTTTTTACAGTTGATATTTGATTTCGTCCCAAATTCATGGTTGCTTAATATAATTTTCATAACTTTTCCTACCAATTATGGGGCAGTCAAAACATTCAAGCCACTGTTGGTAGATTCATTGGTCACTCTTTGTAGCAATTTTGCTCTCGAATGAGGTTTTTTCAGATCATATCCTGGATGAAAAGATGTAGCACAGAGGCCTTAGGCGGCTTTCTACACTACTCAAATGCGCAATTCGTAGAAGCATGCTTTAATGCGAGCTTAAATTAGTTCAAGTACATAGCCAATTGGGCTATTTCAAAACCCCAAAGAGAGGATTTTTTCCCAAAAAGGATTCTAGTTTTAAAAAAAATTGAATTAGAACCCAGGGATTCAATGTAATTCTCGGAAGCATAGGACTTTTTTTTGTTTCAACTATTATTTTAATATTCGAAATTAGTCTGTAAAAAACAACGTTTTTTTATAATTTCGGTGAAAAAGACGATTTTCACAAAACAGCCAAAAACGGTTTTGAACCGCAATTTTATTCAACTTTTCATTCCGAAATGTTTATCTCCTCTTAGTCACTAAAAACAATGGCTTCTAGGCTTAAGTTCCGTGTTTTCTATTTTTTATCGCTTGAATTACAAAATTTTGATTTAAAGCATGATTATATTCGACATTTTGAACCAGTTTGCTGGAACTTTTGTTGACTCAAAATGTCTCTCTTTGGGTTTAACTTTTATTATATATGCGTTTTAGTGTCCACCATTTGTTGTGAAATATTCATACAATCCGCGGGATTTCCATGCCGTTTTTGATCTAAATCCCCCTCGAACGCGAATTCCCCCTATAAACCCAACTAGGGAAAAGTTGGAAAGGTATATACTACTATTTAGTTATTATATTGCACCCGAATTTAATTCCCACTTAATAATGCTGACGGTCATATTTTACACTTGTTAATGCACCCTACGGTTTGTTAAACCCAGTGCATTAATCTGCCCGCTTAATGCATTTTCTCGCCATAAAACAGTGTGCTGATCTTGGGTGAGGAGATAAAATAGTAGGTAAGTCTGGCTTTACCCTAGCGTTTCAATACTTCATTATGTCCAAAGTTTTTATAAGTGCGTCATCAAAATTTGAAATATTTGTGCTGATTTCAGCTTCTATTTCGTTTTTTCTTAGTTCACAGTTTTGCCATTAGTATTTTTGGACGGAGTTTTTAAAAATAAAATGATAAATACTCCCATCACAAATAACACGTGTTGAGGTTTTTTTTTTATCATAACCTTCATACGAACATAGACAAAACGAATTATGTTACACGATGCTTTTCTCGTTTTCCTAGCTCTGTCATCTTGTTAAGCTAGTCCACAATAATCAAACTTCAAGCCTTGTGATGGCTATTTACAATATTCCCCAATTTTTTCCCTCAGGTTTTCAGATTTCAACCGAACTCAATAAAGGTTCAATCGAGTTTCTAGAGAAAAATATAAGGCAGCGGCGTAATAAATATTTAATACTAGACATTTTTGAGCTCTCCACGAAATATCGCCCTAATTTTTCATTTTGAAACTTCAAGTGCACGATTAACATTTAAATGTCTCGGTTCCCCAAAATAATCCGTATGAAATCCAGGGCTTAATTTTACGGGCACCAAAATATGCCATGCTCGAATTAAATATCGTAGAATTAGATTTCGGAGGTAATATTTGTGGTTATTGGATTACACGTGTATAGGTTGAAGTAAGTCCAGGTTTTTAGATCAAAGTTTTGATCTTAAGAAATACAGACGAGCATTAATAGAGCTAAGAAATGGATTTTATAGGTACCAGAAAACACTGGTGTGTTCAATTAAACGTTTATTTATATCGTAATTCGAAACCAAAGTTTAAAGTTAAGAGCCTCGCAATTGACGTGTTGTTCATTAGTGATTTTGTGAAATCAATTTCAAGTCTAGAAGAGGATTTTATGCAGCTGGTGTATGCCTTCTGAATCAATTCTCTTCTGTCCCCAATATAAAGAGCAAATTGGCGAGAGCAAGAATTTTTCGGCAAAAGAGCGATTCGGTTTTTGTGCGTTTGTCGTTACTTTGACGTTAACACTTTTTGCTCCTTGAACTTATTGGATCTCTTCGACTACCCCCCTTGGGAACTAGTAACGAGCTGCCACCCCCTATGAAGAATCAGTTCAATGATTGAGCATATGTGAATTTTGTACCCTTAACGAAAGCAGGGATAGTTAAAGAGATCCAAATTATTACCTCAACACTGACTTAAGCATTGGACATCGAGCTTGCGACTGATGAAAATATATTTTCCGTTTTTGTAATAAATATGCACAAAGTGATCGATAGTTTCAAAAACATTATAATTTTTAAACGATTTTTTTTCGATATAAAGTATTCTATCGAAGAAGTTGATATCATAATTAAGCTCTAGTTTTCTTTTCGATATGTTTTTTAGGCTTTTACAGTTTACCGCGACTAATAAATTTTGTTCCGACCATAGTTTTCGGTTTTTTTTTGCTTTCCACGCAAAATTAGGTATCACAAATAATCATCGGACTGGGTTGAGTGATATATCATATTAGGGCACTTTCAGTCATTTGAACGATATTTAAAAAAATTCAGAAAAATTATCAGTGTCGAGAAAAACCGGTTTGAATTTCGACCAAATAAATTGAAGATAACTTGTTTAAACTGTTCATTTAAGCCAAAATAAACTCAGTTTTTCTAAACGAAAGCTAGTTTTGAAAGCTATATTTGGCACTTCCTTCCTTGGCAAGTTTTTTTTGTTTTTCACAAAAATATTTAAAAAAAATATGATTTTTTTGAATTTTTTTCTTCATTTTTTGTTAGTTATTCTTTTTTTGAAAGCAACAGTTGTCGATTATGCCTGATTTACTAACATCTTACGCGTGATCATTGTTTTATCATCACATTATGTACAAAAAACGATATTAATTTGAAGAACTTAATAATTTGAAAAACTTTTATTTGTAGTTTTTATGAATATGGTTGGAACATTTTTTCCCCACTTTTCTTGGCTTTGGAGTTTCCTCCTCGAATGTTCCAAATTTTGAAATTCTGCACAGGATTTTTTCAAGAATGCAGGTAATGGCTAATCCCTTGTTTTAAACTAAGCTGAAATTTAGATATTACTGTTGCTGTCGCTTTGATTTCACACTTGGCATTATATGTGAAATATAAATCAGCAGATATTTTTCATAAAATGAAACAATATTGAGGATTATTTGGACTGGTTTAAGATACGCACACAAAAGAAATGTTTCAAATATGACGGATTTCATTCGGATTCTGATTAAAAATTGAATAGTGCGCTCCTGCTAAAGCTGCAATCAATTATGAAATATTCACGCAGATGACGTTTTTTATCAAATGCTCTTCTAGCAAAAAGCAAATACTATATTTGTCCATTTTTAATGACATTTATTGAAAAGAGCGCAAGTCAATTTAGAAATTTCTGAAAATTTTTTATGAGAACAGTATGCAGTATTTGTAATTGTGAAATTATACACTTAGTTGTAAAATTTATTGAAAAAAAAGTTATCCAGCTTATTAGAATTCGTTTGAAAATGTCGACCAAAAAGTGTAGTGGTCTTTGTTTTTTACAGGCATTGCAGCTTTCGAGTTTAAACAACGCGAAGATTACGTCAAATAATTCAGAAAATTCGAAAAGTGACCCAAAAAATGCAAATGATTCTCAATTTTCGCAACCATTTGCAACTAATTCTGCTGTAGTTAATAAAAACGGAACCAATACTGCAAAGTGTGTCAGTGAGTCGCCATCAAATTTTACAGTCGAAAATTCAGCTATTGGTTCTACAAATAATACTGTTGTCAATATGCTTGAAAGTCAACAAGAGATGGCGCTAGAGTCGAATTTAAATTTGCTCGCTAATTCACAGAATAAACAACAAATATCGGGCCAGATATCAACGAATTCGTGTCATCGACATCATAGACGTCGCCACGAGCATCATAACTCAGCGCAACGACAGCAACATCGGCATAATAATCATAGCCATCATCATAGTATAAGAAATACGAACGAAAATCAAGGAATCGGAATCGAATTTGCAACTCCTGAAACTTCGAATTTCGATTTGCAATTGCAATCCCAGAGTGCAGTTATGAGTCATCAAGTTATGAGCAGTACAACTCAGAATGTGATGAATGGCGGAAATGATTTCAGATCAGTTTCGAGGCAAAAGCGAACTCAGAATTCGGATTTGACGCGAGCTAATTCGGAGCATAGAAAACATCATCGCCATCATAATCACTCGGAAAGTGCTTCGGCAGTTGCGACAGCCGGCGGATCATCGCGAGGCATTACAGGATCGTCGCAACGCAACTCCGGTTACAGTGGAAGTAGTATCAGTACTCATTATATATCGAATAATCAACAGAGTTATACTTGTGCGAATAAAACCTCGACTTCTAGTAATGCTGTATCTGCAAATAATATTGCAAATGGAACTTCGCATATAAAGCAAGGAAGTGTTTCGAAGCAATCGAGTGGTCGATTTTTACGAAGTGGTTGTTTTGGAGGTTGTAGCATGCAGAATAAAAACTGCAGCGGGTGTGTGCAAGATACGAAACAAGATGCAATGTCTTCTGGAGGTCAAGGGTCAAGTGCAAGAGGTCAAGAGGGCTCGTTACTGGAAATTGGAAGTGGCGGATTGCATAGTCATCGGTAAGATCAGTTTTGTGCAATTTTGCAGCCTCGTTCAGGTTTTGATATCGGTTCACCGTCTACGATAGATAATTTTAAGCTCTTTCCATTTTTAGTACCCCAACTCCTGAACCTATTAACAAGAATTATAGGTTCAGGAGGAAGATTTTTCTTCAATGAGAGATATAATTAAAAGATTGAAAAGATATAATTATATTTAACCACGAAATTTTGAAATTTGTCTCCAAAGCTTCGCTTCTAAAAAAGTTACTTAATTTTTTGAGTTTTGAATGTTAAAATTGGGCCTTGATGCGGTAGTTGTTGGTGGTTTATGTTTTAAAACATGGTTTCATTTACTGTAACAACTATTTTTAGTTGACTTTTTACTTAACGAAAGACAATAAAGAGTAAGTAGTAACTTTGCTGATAGGCGGCCGCATCAACATCACCATCACAGATGCAATAAACACAGAAAACAACCTCAACACTCAAATCACACTCAGACTCAGCTCCAGCAGTCAGCAATCAACAACCATGCCCCACTCATGGATGAAGCTACAAGGGAGATCATTGGGAGAAGTCTCATGGCTAGTAGTAGCTCTGGATTGGTTCCAGGAAATGTTGCTAGTGGACATTCACCGCAGCAAAATGCAACAGTAAACCAGCTGCAGCAGAACCAGGTGAATATGCTGGGGTTCATAGACGAGTTTGAAGATAAAATATTGCGTGGATAAAAGTTCAATTATGTCTCTTGGCAATATCCTTTTCAGTCAATGAAGCAAAGTCCATATGATGCCCAAAACTAGTTTTTGACGAAAAATTTATATTCTTTTCAGCGTTGTTTTCTGACCTATTAAAAACTCAAGATCTCGGACAGGGGCAGCTTTTTCAATAACTATAAAATTCAATGGAGGTAATAATCAAAGGAGAGTTTGGATTTTCTTGGGATTTTTTCATGTTATATGTTAGTAGAATATGAGTTTGGAAACTGTTAACGCTTGCGATTAGCAAGAGTTATCAAGTCGGAATATACACTTTTTTCGTTCCTGAAAATACACTTTTTATGCTTCATTCCTGATCGAAAAAAATTCTTTATGCTTCATTCCTGATCGAAAAAAATTCCTGATCTAGTTCTTAGGATAGTTTTTTGTTCAAAGTTTTTTTATGACAGCAATTATTTTTTCGGTTCTACGTGAAGTTAATCAAATTTCGTCGGCTGAGTTGCCATTTGTTTTTTTTTGAATTTTCATTAATTGCCGTCGATTGTCTCTGAACGTGTTTTCCGCATAGAGAACATGATTCCAGACAACATTTTCAATTTTTCTAGTTGTGGTTTTTTGAAGTTTTTTTTGTGGACTTAGTTTTTTCGTTTTCCGTCTGCTAGCTTGCACTGATATTTTAATGGTATATCGCAAGTGATGCGAAGCTCTCCATTTTTGTTGTAGGTACAAGATGCAGAGCATGGAATATCTTGTTCTGATTAAATAGCTAGAAATGTCAAAATATTTTCCAGACTGTTTCGATTGTTTGGTAGTACCTTGAACATGGGCATACTTTTTTGAATTCTTTTATCATTGTTCATTACACAACAAAAACATTCAACACTTAATCGGATATTTAAAAACTTGACCGAATTCAACTCATAAGAAACAATTTATTCAAAAATGCAAATTGAACAATTTCCCAGTCTTTCTCGTCCAATTCAGCTCTTCAGCTAATTAGTGTTTCAGAGTCGATGAACGTAGTTCAGACTCTTATACAGGTCGCGATGATTTTTTTTTGTTTTTTTTTTTCAGATAAAGTCTTAAATTTCTTTAGAGAACTGATCCGGGACAATCGTAATTTAACTATTCAGTTAAATTTGCCTGAGAACATTGAATTGAGTTAAGTTTTTCAATGCTGCTAAAACTTACTTGCTAGAATTATTAAGAATAGCAAAAAAAATAATATTTTACAATTTTTTGTATTAAGTTCACAAATTACTTCTGTAAAACGTTGTTAACAGTCAGTGACATCAACAGTGAATTTTTTCCCACAATTTGTCGTTGCCACATACAACTCGTTTAAAAAAGATAAACAGTTCAACTATGGTATACTAGTGGACATTATACCCAAATATAGGTTCTTAGTCCCTAAAATGTTTATTTAGCAGGACCATTTTAGACATTACTTTCCATGAATCTGAAAAAAAAATCATGAGATAAAAGCAAATTTTCTCAGACACACCTATGCAAATATCAATTTTGGTTTTTAATGTTTGCCAGTTTCTTCTAGATCTAAAAGCTCTAATTTTTTTTATATTCATTTTTTTTCAACGGTGTGATATTGGATGAAACAGCCGAGCTTAGCAAATATTACACTAAACAAGTTTCTTAGTCCCTAAAATGTTTATTTAGCAGGACCATTTTAGACATTACTTTCCATGAATCTGAAAAAAAATTCATGAGATAAAAGCAAATTTTCTCAGACACACCTATGCAAATATCAATTTTGGTTTTTAATGTTTGCCAGTTTCTTCTAGATCTAAAAGCTCTATTTTTTTTTATATTCATTTTTTTTCAACGGTGTGATATTGGATGAAACAGCCGAGCTTAGCAAATATTACACTAAACATTTCGCATCGCCTGAACAAAATGACTTATTCTAGCCTAATTGCGAAAACACGTATTGCAGATTGTGAAAATTGATATTTTGGACCCGAAGTAACCTGGTACGTCCTTGAAATCAAATACTGATTTTTTGTTTTACTGAGAACATTGGTTGCTATGAACATTTGCTTTCGGTCGATGTAAAGTTTGTTTTAGAGGAAATCTATGTTGTTCAAAAATGCCCTTGAAAATAGGCGTTGTTAAGAGAAGAAACCTAAATTTGCGTTTAGTTTTGTCTGCTAGGGTATTACCGATAGTTCAGATACATGATCTTGGAGTTTCAACTACCTTCTGAGCAAAACTGAACCACTGCTATAATAAAAGATCATAAAACTTTAATTATACTAATATGTGTTCAATATACTAGTCTAGGCGCAATAAACGTGGAAATTTGTTTCAGCCATGTCATCGACATTTTCCCCAAAATGTCATTGGCGAACAGCAAAAACAATCAACTCACAGAAAACACACTCAACAATGCTCTCATGAAAGCTCGAACTCAAAGCCTCCAATTGGAAATAGTGTTCTTGGAATGAATAACACAGCATCGATGACCCGAAAAGCAGCGCCTCCGGTTCCGAGGACTCAAGTACCTTTCTCTCAGAACTCATTCGAAAGCGCGGTATCCGCAAATCCCCAGAATGTAAATGAATTACCCAAACCTCAAAATGTAGTTGCCTTGGAAAATAGAATCTCAGGAAAAAGTAGAGCCCATATGCCTTTACCAGTACCACTGGAACAAACCGGGGTTCCCGGGAACTTCTCTGCCGGTCCTGGAAACGCTTCCCAAAATACGATAACAACCCCTCCTTTTTCGAATTATGCAGTAAATGGAAGCACACCGAGTCCCATAGCAAATAACAAAAGCAGTTCGCCATTGTTTGCTGCGGGTAACAAAAATGGACAATTGGGTCTAAGAGGTGATATCGGGTCCCCATGTGATAATAACGGGCCTTCTCAGCAAGGTTTTGGACATTTGGGATCTCCGAATCCGTTTCAAACTACGACACATGTTAGTGTGCCCAATAGTAGGAAAATGAGAAGACAAGGCAGTGATTCTTCGAATCAGTTTTCGACGGGTGACGAGAAGAGAACGAATAATCAAAACAGGGTACGTTTTTGTTAGTTTTCATTTTCATCTTTTCATTTTCAAAACATTTTTTTCAGTTCAACTTTTTAAACTTAACTCAGTATTCATTTAACCCTTCAGAATTTGGCCCATTAATTGTCCGTTCTTTCTGCCATGCTGTTAATTTTTGGAACGGGTGAAAAAAAAACTGTTCAAGCTCTTGTATTGACTGATAATAATTTGCTCTACTCAGAACTTGCGATTTAACTGCAAACTTCAGATGTAAAATTCAACTAGAAATAGTGGCTGTTCTACCGTTTTGCTCCACCTGCAGCTTTTGCGATTTGTTTTTGGTGATCCAACTGCCATGAAGTCTGCACGCAAAGTCGCGTTGCCCAATTGCAAACATATTTGCTCTTCATCTACAACTCTCTGAAAAGTATCTGTAAAATTGGTGTTTATGTGTGGTGGGGGGGGGGGGGGAGCGGAAGTAACTAAGGTACTTTTTCTCTTACATTCTCCCCAAGATATAAATATCAATTTTACGGCTTAGTTGTTGATTTTACGAAGTTGTATATTAAGACAAAATTACTCATCTTTTCAGCCTGAACAAGTGCAAACGAGGCAGGTTAACAAGCTTCACGTGAACAGCAATAAACACGAGGAAAGAGTTGCTCCATTCAATGGACAGAGAAGTGCAACTCCTCATTTGGACCCGACTACCTACTCACACCACAACAGCAGACAACACGGTGAGTCCATGGGCTTAAAAGTTTCCAATTGGGGCTCTTTTTCATTTCCCGCACCTCTAACGAGCAGCAATTTTAATCTCAAAAGGCAGAAAACTACCTATGCTTTTATAGAGCATAAATATTTACTAGGGATCCATCTATAATTTAGATACCCAACTATTATACTTAGACCTTGCCATGTTTTACGCTTGAGTAGTTCTATTCTAACAATGACTGCACATCATTTATCTAGAATTCTCCTTTTCAAGCGAAAGCTAAATTGGGGCTAGAGGTGGTCAAGTTTTCGACGCATTTTCTTCTCGATGTTTGGGGGAAATCTGAGTTTGATCGACCTACCAAAAAGTCTAAATTTTCAAAATATTTAAAACTCGCCCATCGCTGAATTTTTTGATTACCACAACAGTAATAATTCAGATTTATCAGAAAGTCAATTTAAAACAATTTAGGAAGATTTTGGGAAAGGTTCATCAGAATTGACAAAACTAAATCAATGTCTCGTTATGAACTTTTGGGTACATTTTTAAAAATATATTTTAGAATTCAATCCTCGTCAAGCTCGCCAAATTGACAACTTCAGTAATTTTAACAATGCGAACTGTCAACCTGTAAACCTCACAAATGTATCTCGCTTCCAACTAACAAACAATTTCAACCTTTCGTCTGACAATCTTATCTGCAGTGCAAGAAACAATCAGAATTCGAACGACAATTTTAACGCTCAATTCGAAAACGATTTCGAAAATTGTTCAAAAAATGAAAACTCCAAATCGCAGTTAGTACCGTTTAGAAACTGCAAATCTCATACCGATTTGTTTTCGGATTCAAATTTTATTTCTGAAGTTCAATTTGAAACTGAACATTATAACAGCGATTATTATGAAAATTTAAGAAATGCAACAAGTTTGTCAACTGATGCCCTATACGAAAATACAAATAATACTCCGAAGCTTGAAGATTGTCAAAAATATCCATGTGAACCAAATGTGAACTCTAGAAACCCGTTCGAAAATGCAGATTATTGTCAGCGGTTTTCGCGCGGAAGTCGTGACTTTATTAATGAAAATCAAAATCTTCGGGAAAAATCTGCAAGTAACATAAGTGTCGACTCTTTAGAAAATGCGCCTAAAATTAGAACCAATAACTATAATTCGAATACAAAGCAAGATAGTGAAACTTATGAAACACTAACTAATTACACGAGCTCGATGCTCTACGAGAACAGAAAACACAGTTTTCCAGAAACGCTCGTTAAGCCGAACATCTCATTTGTTCAACCAATTAAGAAAAATGTTCACGAAAATAGAAGAAGTTTTCAAGAAAGCAGGAAAAGTTTCCACGAAATTGACAGTAAAGATGATGAGGTTTCATTAATGGGGAGAATTTACGACGACGTTGCAAATACAAGTGATGAAGAAGAAAAGAATTTGATGGAAAATTTGGAAAATCTTTCGGGCGAGGAAGAAATTATCGACGATGAAAACGAAGATTTGTTAGAAACTGAAACTGATTTGATGTTAAATGAAGACGAAGATTGTTCAGAAAACAACAATGATATCGATGACGATAACGTGGAAAGTATTTATAATGAGAATGAGAGCGAGATCGAAGATCGTTTGAGTTTGCTGGAGGCGAGTTTGGAAGTTGGGGGTGGTAATGAGTATGAAAACACGACGATGTCATCGGAATGTCGCGAAAGTGTTTATTCGATAGGTGAGTTAGTGAAAGTCGTTTGATGGAAATAAAAAGTTTCCCGCGCTTGGGTTTGTATTTCCAAGGTAAATTATTGAAGATTATTTTGAAAAAAGTTAGATGCAGTAGATGATTCAGGGGCAGTTAGTGGACGCAACTATGTTCTTCTCAGGTATTCGACATTTTGACCTCCGAAAGATTCCACCTTTGGAAAAATTTTATAACATGATTTTTACCCGACCACTTCAAGTTTGGATAAACGCGCCTTCGTCGCCAATGAACACCAACTTTCAGACATAGCACGCGCAGAAAAAACTTGAGTTGCAAAAATTCTGGGCAAAAGACGTTTTTTATAGTGTTTGGAGAAGGAATGGGAAAATCAATTTGGTCGACCATAAAAATCCGCCCCTCCCCCTCGAAACAAAGACAATAGATTTGCGCCTGATAGTTATATTGGATATCGGGTCCGATCAAATAAAATTTTAAATATGCCTGAGTATGAATTATGAAATCTTTGTTTTCATTTTAGGTGCTAAATTCACTCCTCCCGCCTCGCGTGATATCCTAGCCGACTCGAAGTTAAACCGAAGAATCAATTCAAGGTCATCAAATTCACCAGCGCGACCTCCAAAGGGGTCAAATCTAGAAATGACCGAATCTGCAAATCACAGTAACTTCAGTGGTAATAGTCAGTCGCAACATAACCCATCTAGTAGTGGTTTGATCATGGGTGGAGTTGGGAATATAAAGAGGAATTTGGATGAAGGTTTCTCACAAGAATCACTATCGAGCCCAGTGACGAATAGGAAAAACATGAATGCTGCTTTTTCGTCAAAGGTAAAATATTAAGGTTGTTTGTGTCTTAAAGTTTGATAATGATTGCATGCAATGGGGTACTAAGGTCTCGAATTACTGGTGTCTTTGTCTTTAATGTGATCAAAAAACTTCCATTTTAAGGTTATGTTGTTTATTTACTAGGAAAAGGTCCAACATACGAGATTTTAAAGCCTTTAGATTGCGAAGCAGAATCTTAGCCTTTTCACCACCGCTCCCCACGTTTCAAACTCTTGCATATTTAGGAGAGTATGCTTTCGACGCCTTCTGATTGCAGCGAACAGTCTAGATCGATCCAACTATCGAACAACCAGCTCTCAAAACAATCTTACACTTATGATTCAATCAACTTCCAATATCACAAATTCCCATCGACAATTGACAATACTGTGTATACGATAGAGAGTGAATCCTTAATAAGCGGCAATCTGGACAATGAAATGGGCGAGGGGAGTTTTACGAGGGGAGATAATAGGACTGGCGCAGGAATGGGCGCTGATTTGCAGAATATATATGATCAGCCGTGCAGCGAACAGGAATACTTGCTGTACGAGGTACGACAACGGTTTTTTGTTCCGACCACTAAAAGTGGGGAGGGACTTTGCCTTTTTTATTTTAGTTTTTAACATCTTTTAAGAGTGGATGAGCATCGCGATGATTATTAAATTATGAACATGATTGGATATCTAGCGATGTCATATCACGAGATCAGACCTCAATACGCGGTTAACTTTCCGTATGTATGAACTCAAAGAAACGGAAAACAGAAAAAAAAGAACTAAGTATAAAAAACAGTTGAATTCGAGAGCGATAAAAGAGTAGTAAGGACTTACTACTCTTTTATCGCTCTCGAATTCAACTGTTTTTTATACTTAGTTCTTTTTTTCTGTTTTCCGTTTCTTTGAGTTCATTGACTCTTTTCGAGCTATCGACTGGCTATGTTTCTTATTTTCACGCAAAATCAGATAAAACAATTATAATCAGAGTGTATTGAGTCATATATCATAATATAGCTCGTTCAGTTGTGATTCGAACTACATTAAAGTTTTCCCAGCATCGAGAAAAAACACAAGTCTAGACAGTAACATTCCTTAGATAAGCGGGTTTTTGAAGCTTCATTTAACGCGTCCTTCGCATTAAAAGTTAAAAAAATTCTCAAAAAAAATTGAAAAAAAAACGAGGATTTTCATATGTAGGTCTTGAGGTTCTTTGAATTGTTTTTTTTTTTCAGGAAAAATTTAAAGTTTGGTAACCTTCAAATCTAATTTTTTGCGTTTGGACTTTTGATTTCTCCTATGCTTAGATAATTTCATTTGTTTACTCTCAAAAGTGTAAAGGTCACAAAAAAATGATCGAGTTCTAGTTTCGAAAGTCGGTTTTACTTTTAAGATTTTCCAGCGGAATATAAAAATTTACATGTCGCTCCAGTGTTTTATCTAAATTGGATTAATTTTTATTTCAAAAAAGGCCAATCATAAATTGTTTCTGAAATTCGAAAAACTTTAAAGGAATATTTTTTTCTTTAAAAATTGAAATTCTTAAATATTTTTTCTTTTTCATTGCGTTAATTTTTGTTCTTGTCTGTAAAAACTGTAGTCGATGTCGATTATGCAATATATAGATGCTGTGCTATCTATCGGCTATCTTGTTCAAAATAAAATGAAAGCTCTGCTTAGACCTACAACGATTACGACGATCCAGATTCAAGCGATGCAACTTGCACTAAGCGTCATCAAGCCTTCTATGAGAACAATTCAATTCTAAGTGGAAATGATCTAAATGAACCGAAAAACTTTCCAGTTGTGATTCCAGAAACAGAACATAGAACTGTGAATCCATTTGACATTGGGCTTCCTGTTGGTGTCATACAAGAATCAATATTCAACCCAAGGTAGATATATCCAATTAGCTGATAGGTTTCGAAGTTTTTTTTAAATCAAAGACATCAAATCCATATTAAAGAAGTTTTTCTGATGTTTCGATACTGAAGAATATTTTAAATAGTTTCAAAAAATTTGAAAATAATTTTCAATTACAATTATTTTCACAATTCTTTTAGTTCGTATTTGCGTTTTTTTATTAATACTTGATTGGAATCCTGATAGATAGTTTTTCTTTCTTTTAGCGGCAGGTTGGAACTACAATTTGCTTTCTAATTAAAATGTTGATAGAACAAGAAAACTGCATTTGCTAAACGCCTAACATTTAATGTTTATTGGCCCTGTAGAAGCATTGCTAGAAATACCCTCCGTTTGCTTGCTTCTAGTGGAAGTATGGAGCCAATTGTTGACACAGTGAACAAAAGTTTCACCGGTATAAGGACGAAGATGGGTGGAGTTTTTTTTTTGTAGCCCTAATTCTCAGTTTTTGCTTGCTTTTAGCGGTAGCCTGGATTCTAACAATCGTAGTCTGACGAATAATCAACAGACGAACAGTAGTCAGAATGATCCTGCTCTTCCCTTTTCTCGAGGAGTGAGCGGGTCAGGGGCTACTCTGGACCTGGCCAGAAAGAGCGGGCTGTTTAAGAAGAAACAGACCACCTCTGATGTGATGAAATGGACTAAGGTTAATACTGAAAACGGTGGACCAAGTTCCAAAAATAAACTTGTTTTTCAATATTAACAGTCGGACAATATTAACCCTCTGGACAATTTTTCAGATTGTTCAGAGGAATAGAAAGATTAGCTTTTGAGCAACAAAAACTTTCAATTAATCATGAAAATTTCTTGAAATATTTAGAGGAGCTTTACTGTGATGTATTTCTATTTCTTTTCTTCGAAGTTTGAAGGTTCTAAAATTAATTATGCCGAACTCGTTTATTCGTGGATATTTTGAAATAAAATATTGCTAAGCCTTATTATTGTTTAAAAATATTGCAAATAAATATTGCTAAATTATTTACTAGGTTTTGAATCAACTTTTAATATTTAGGATGTGATTCGGGAACCACTAATTGCAGACAAGAGATTCAAAAAGGAAGCAGTCGACTGTTTCAAATTGGTGCAGCAATACATGGGAGATAGAAAGCACAACACAAATACCAACTCAAATCGTGGTCCGAACTCAGAGGAAGACTTGCAGGTGATGATGTTTAATGAACGTTCGTACTGAAAGTTTATGTTCCAGAATGGTGCTTGGAGCGGTTTTTTTTATTCAGTCTATTTTTGCGATTAACAAAAATAATTTATGCCCATTGAAGATATTGACTCCCTGAAATCAAGTAAAAAAAGATATTTTACATCCGATCTTTTTTTGCAAAGTTTTGGGAGTTTTAAAATTGCCAATTTGACCATGCTCTGGACTAATTTATAAGCGCTTTGTAGATTTTATCCATAATTCTGAAAGAGTAACGCGAATTATTATGCTTGGCGAATTCTACCGCTCAACAAAATCGTTCAAAGTTTGAATTAAGGCTAGCTAATTGGTCATAATGATTTCGAATGACTCAAATTTTCATACTTGATCTGTGATATTGTCCATAATTTATAGTTTTTCAATAATTTTTTCAACCAAAAACTATTCGATTTGAATTAAGGAGCAGTCGGAACATTCAGTGCTTTGCCCTGATATACGAGCATTCTTGTTGCATTGTTGCACATTCTGTGATGTATTTAACGATTTCATATTCTATGATATATTTATCGAGAAAGTACGAGCTCGTGTTGGAGTTTGCAAAGTCCATTAGTACCAACTTTCTTTTTTTCAACCTAAGTCGCAAATAGAAGTTCTACTTCTGGAAGCATTTTTGAATCGGTAGGCTGCAGTAGCAGTGTGATATCATATGTGCTTTGACATTTGATTAGTAAAAAATTAACAAAGCTGATACATTTTAAATTCAAACAGCTTCAATCAATCAGTTTCAAACAGCAGTACAATGATGAAAAGCTCGATCTCAGAAATTTTCCAACTAAATGTATCTCGCAATTTTTTTTTAATGAATAATTTATACATCATTTGGCTTTCTGCTTTCCGATTTATTACATGCAAAATTGTGTATTTTTGTATGCGGTGTTACTTTTGCTGCATCTAATTGGCAATTTATTAGCATATGCAGCTGCCTTATTGGTGGCTAGTTTTCGGGGTCTTCAATCATCCGTATCTGACGAGGTTAGTGCGTGAGACCCAAATTTGCTACATCTCAGATTCGAATTCGACACAAAGCCGAACTTTTGCTAATTCGAGGCTTTCTTTCCCTATTTCACTTGATAGAACTGTTTTTTGGTCGTGTTCCCGCAAGTAAATCGCTAAGCGCAGCTTCGCCTCTCTGTTCAAATGTTAATTTAGCGTTTGAAAATCTATTGCAGATTTTGTGTGCAGTGGAGTTGGCTGTGAAGGGGTGGGAGATTGTGCAGTTGAGAGATGAGCTGATTCTACAAGTGTGCAAACAGAGCATTGACAACTCCAGACAGTGAGTATATAACGAACATTTGGAAATTGAACATTTACCACAGTTTCCTCGCAGAAATAGATCCGGTTCACAAATTTGCGCTTTAGATTGATACCTAAATAGATTCTCCTTCAAAATTTTTGAGGCCGTTTGTAACAAAAGCATCAAATACGTGAAAATTTTCAACTAAACAACGTCTTTTAAACTATACACAACTGAAAGATATTCGATATAACTTTTTTTTCGATGTTTTGATTATTAGACTATGATTGGCCATAAAAGTTGTGAAGTTGGCAACTGAGTGTTTAAATGATTATGCGTTTTTTTTCAATAAAAAATTATGCGTTGTTTTTCGAAAGGAATTTTTGATAAAAAAGAGAAAGCACAATTTTTTACACCACAATGGCTCGAAATGGGGAAGATTGCATGCAAAATTCAGATGTTTGAGCATTTTTTTTTTGATAATATTGCTATTTGCCAAATCTTTTATTCCTCTAGAATCGATGTGGGTAGAAGAGATTTTGTTTTGCTTGAAGTTTCAAAGTTGAATTCCAACATGCCCTATCGCGCTAATATTCAACTAAGTTAAAAAATATCTGAGTTTAAATTCATTTTTAGGTCAAGTGTGAAGCAAGGTTGGGAACTGCTCGCCATCTTCCTTTCCTTTTTCGCCCCTTCGGATAGAATTGTGAAATATCTGGAACACTTCTTGATCGAGTTCACATTGGAAGACGACAACGATGAAGAAAGGGAGAGCGGAGGGGCTGGGGATCGAAAAGGGGAGGATTCAGTTCTGGGTTTGTTGTCGGAGGGGGATGGCGGTCAGTTGGACGAAGATGTTTTGGGAATCACCACTACACTTGAAAAGGTCAATAAAAGAAACGTTTTGAAGTTAAAAACCTAGTTTTAAAGGAGTGAAATAAATTTTGGGCTCAAAATTTCTCGTTCACTCAACGGCATTAATATGTACATTAGCTGTACATCACGAGAACTCTTGAAAAATTAAAAAAGAGCCATTTTCAGGCGTTTTACTATTTGGTTTTGCTTAAAATTCATTCAGATTTGAGTTTTTTTGCGGTACTGCGATGAGAGCTAGGTAAATCCTTTTTGCAAATCTATAAAATTAACATGGCTAAAACTGAATTTTCAGATTCCAAGGAAAAAATATGAGTTCAAAAAATGAGTTCGAAATGTTGGTAGTGTTCAAAATAGGGCTCATGAGTAAATTTATTTGTAGGATCGAATGTTTTTATCATACTTTTGTTTTCAGCTGTGTTTTATTCCAAGTACTGTGCTTTTTGGTCTTTTCTCTGACGTTTTGATGGTTTTAGCGGTCGAATATTGGAATAAAAACATCCAATAAAAATAAAGATCAAATAGAAATTTTATGCGATACTTTTAAATGAAATTTTGTTCGATTCCATCAGAATTCCGACTTAAGGAATTTTCAAAATAATGCGGAATCCAACAAAAGTTATGCGGATTCCAGGGAAAATATAGGGACAATGCATGCGGAATCCAAACCAATTCCAAAGTAACGAGCTTGGTGTCGTAATGGTCACTGTTTGTTTTCAACAGAGTTCACTATTTTTGTTTTCAGTTGTGTTCAATTCCGTGCAAGAAGTATGCAGTGCACTGTTGGAAACAGATGAAGAGAATGAGAAGGATTAAAGCACTGGAGGATAACTCCACTCAGATGATGAGGAGTAAAAGACCGACTGTGGAGGAGGTGGTGGCTGCCAGGGTCAGTAAAACACGCTTTCAGCTAATTGGGAAACTATTTTTTTCTATTGTCAATTTGTTGCTTCGTACCAGTTTCAGACCCCTCGAGAAAAAATCAAAATTGATGTAGTGGGAAGATTGTTCGCCAATTTTTTTTCCCACAGTTATAGACTTGAGAAGTAAACTGAATTGAGGTACCGATGAGTGTAACGGATAATAAGATAGTGTGTAATTATGTTCAAAATCTCATTTTGTCGAGAATTTAGTGCTTTGTGGGTTGATGGACAATTGCGCAACATCATGGTTCTAGGGTAACTAACATACAATATACGAGTAGCTGCTAAGGTATTTAAGGGATTATAGGGTAACAGTGAATAGGCACTAAGTCTTGCGTGAGGGGAAGGTTTTTACTCTTGCAAAAATCAAAAGTACTGCAACCAGGTACTAGAATTTTTCCCCTAATTGACTTTGTTTACACGATGATTTTCATGGAATTGGTGGGCATCTGAAAATCAGCTTTTTTGGATATGTTTGGAGCATATATACTTTTCCAATGCCCTTATGATTTACGCGAGCGTAGCCTAGCGATAGTACGATGCAACTTAATTCTAACCTAAGTCGCAAATCAACCTAAGTCGCTAAGTTGGAAGGCTGCATTAGCAGTAGCAGCTCAAAATCATTCTAAATTTAAGCGAGACAAGCTAATTTGTTTTAAAAGATATTAAAAGACGCTAAATTCATCAATAACTTGTAATCAGTCGCAAGTCTAGATGATTTTCAGCGGTAGATTTTAAAGTTGATTATGTGTGGATTTAAATTTTAAATATTATTGAATCTAAATATTTACAAGGAATTAAACCGGCAGTTGGAACATGCAGAGCTCTGCTATGACGACTTGTTTTCCTTCTCAAATTCATTAATCTATCGTGTTTCAGAATGGCCTACACCAACAGCCTGTATTTGGATCCTGTCTGTGCGACCTCATACAGGCTCAGAAAGAGAGTGAGATTAAGAGTATCAACTCACTGGACATCCCTTGGATACTACATGCACTTATCTCTCAGATTGTAACCAGGAAGGGACATCTACAAGAGGGCATTCTGAGGTCAGTGATGGCTCTTGTACCCCCCCCCCCTCACATGTATTGTTTAATATAATAACTACTGTACGTTAATATTTCAAATTTTTGATCACCTGTGGCAGTTTTCATCAAAAGTGGCTTAGTTACACCCTAAATACAAACAGATCATAAAATCAATGATTACAACGTAAATTATAAAACATCTATATCACGGGGGGGGGGGGGGGTAGGTAGTTAGAAACGTAGGTAGCTAGCTAAGACAAAGGTGGGTAATTTTGGTTGTATTTCTTATCTTCCAGTGCTGCCGTTGTCGTTCAGACATTGCGCTTAGTCTGAAGTTCTGATGGTATAAAATAGTTCATGTACTTTTTTGAATATTTCATCATAATGAATATTTGTTTGTAAGTCTATCATGAGAAGAACTTAGAAAAATATTGAGGTAATGTAGCCAGGAAATAGTTTTTTAGTCATGTATATTATGGTATTGTTATTTCATTAAACGTAAACGTTTGTATTTAAAACATCAATTCAATGTTGAATATCCCTTTCAGAGTGTCGGGTGATGCAGAGCAGAGCCAGAAACTGAAAGTGGCCCTCAATTCACAGCCGGCCTCAAATCCTCCCTCTCTCGACAACCACAAGTTCTGGCAACACTACGACACAAACGTGCTAGCCAGAGTAAATTCAATATGGTTATCTTTTCTTTTCCTAAGCTTTTGGTTTTAAATCGTGATGAAGGAAATTGAATTTATTATTTAACAAGATTTGTGGACGAATAATCTTCTTTCTGTTCTTAATTTTACTGCAGTTTTGCTTAAAATTTTTGATGAAAGTTTGCTATATTCTTGGCCTTTTCCGATAACAAATCAGTAAATTTTATTTTGAATTTTTGCATTGAGAACTCATGCGATGAATGGCTCCCTAAAACATGTTCACTGATTCGTTAAAGAACGTGTTTGCTTTACTTTTTGGAATTTGCGAAAAACTGGTCGTAATTATTTTTTGTTCTTGCTGCCATATTATGCTGTCATATTGTGTCTATTTAGGTTCTGAAGCAGTGGCTGCGACAACTAGACGAACCCCTCATTCCAATGCACTGCTACTCCCAATTCATCAACAGTGTCAGCAGTAATAGTAACGAGAGTGACATCACCTCAGGAGTGGTGCAATTGGCAGAACAGCTCAATGAGCCGAACAGAAGTGTGCTGCAATATCTAATAGCATTCTTGCAGGTAATTAAATCTCAGCCGAAGTCGCAAACCTGAGCGAGAACGGCCGACCAATCATATGAACTAAGTGGCCTGTCGCGATTCGAACTTTCATCAATGAAGGAGTTTCAACCCATCGTCGCTTTCGCGTAATGTTTCTTCGTTCTTTATACCCGAAGACTTTTCTACCTTGAAACTTTATCGTAGATTTTTTTCTTGAAGACCTAATGGAATTTTGCTAGCTAGCGTAGTGTTATAACACGATTGTACTTTCTTGCTGTAACCCAACTCGCGTAAAAATTAGCTCATTTTGATGGCAAAACTACTATTTGTGATATGTTCCAACAGGTGGCAGATTGAAATTAAGTAGCTGATCGCTCTTTGTTTTTATTTCGAACAGTATTTATAGTCTTTTAGACAAAAGAAATATGAACTTTGATTTTTTGAATGGAATTTCATCTGACAAAGTAATGTATTTACAAAAACTATCTTAGTAGCATGTAAAATTAATTTAAAATAAAATGACTGTATTATGCACTGTAGTTCTCAATTTTAATACATGCACTACTCAAATAGTTCTCAAAATTGCCAGCTATTGTAACATATCACCAAAATATGGAAGAGATGACAGGGCCTTAGACTGGTAAACGCCAGTTTTTGATTATGGTAATGGAGAGTTTTTCAATTTTGAGAGCATTTTGTGTCTTTTTTGTTGCCTCTTTGGAGCTATTTAATGCTGTTTGTTTTGCTTGTGTTCGCCATGTGCAGCTTCGTATCTCTGTGTTAATGTATTTTTGGAGGGTCGAGCTTGTTTTTTTTCAAGTTTAAGTTAAATGCCCGAAGTGTTTTTAAGAGTAATGAATGTAGTGAAGACTCTTATATAGGGCTTGGTGATTTCTTTTGTTTGTTTGTTTTCCGAAAAAAATCTGAAAATCTGTTCAAACTTAATTTTAATTTTTCGAGGTTTGATTTGTGATTTTTTTAAAAAGTTCATTGCGTTTCCATTGTTAAAAGGAAGGAAAACTCCACTATTGAACATCAAAAGTGTAAAAGTCACAAAAACCGTGATCGACTTCTAGTTTCGAACATGGAGTTTAATTATCAGATTTCCCAGCGAAATACAAATTTTACCTTTTGATCCAGATTTCTCAAATTGGATTATTTTTATGGAAAAATTGTCAATAATAAATTGTTCAAGGAGCTGTAAAGTATCTATTTTTTCGGCTTTCGAAAGTTCAGAGTTTTTAAAAACAATTCAGTTTTTGTTGTTTTCTTGCGTTTGTTGACTATTTTCCATGTCTCTGTTGGCTATGTGTGAGCGAACTAGGAGGTTAATAAATTGAATCACTAATTATTATTTGTTTCACTGGTTGCTCGCCCCTAACTCGAACTAAACTTAGTCTAACTGTTGTATTATAAGGTGATTACACAAGCAGAGCGTTAAGCGATTTTACAGGTCTACTTTTTGCAACCTAAGTCACAAATGTGAGTTCTATTTTTGATTTGTGACAGTTTTTGCAGCAGGCAGCATGGGTAGTATTAGCCTATGTCTTGCGTTCGAATAATAAAAAGTTAACTGTTGTTGCATTTTAGTTCAATTGATCCGATAAATGCTGTTTGTTTGTTACATTTGTACAAAAACCAAAACTCCATTGCAGAAATTTTTCAACTTATTATTTCGAAAACTTTTGAAACGCATAATTTATACACACTTCGAGTTTACAATTTCCATTTAATTGCGTGCAAAGTTTCCTCAATTTGTTGCTTGCAGAGTTATTATTGTTGCATTAGTTTATATTCAGTTTTTTGCTGCATTGCTCTAACAGTTTATTAGCGTCGGTTGCTGCTTTATTGGTCGCAGATGTAGGCAAATTTCCAAGGAAGCGTATCGCAGATTTGAGGATGCGAGAGTCCAAATCTCGAGATCGGAAGTTTAAATTTGTTACATGGCAAAAAAAATTTTGTTCAAGGCTTATTTTTACCTTTCTTATTTCACCTTTTAGAGATGTTTTTTGTCGTTTTTTTGTTGCCTGTGTTTGCGAAGTGCAGCTTTGCCACTCGAGTAAAGTTTTTATTCAATATTTTTTATTTCCCTGCCTGGCTTTCTTTTTGTATGCTTTGCTCCCTAGTTGCTTTTCATGTTGCCTAGTTGCTTTGCTCATAGTTGCCTATTTTAAGTTCAACGTCTGGAGCACACTCGTATTGCGGTCATTTACCAAATTAACAGTAAGTGCTCGAATTTGATTAAGTTCAGTTAATATTCATTTGCTCTAAGGAATGCAAATTATGCTCTCCAATAACTAAAGTGAAAATGACACGAGATTGGCGTATATCTTCAAAAGTGGTTTTTGATTTTGAAATATCCCGTTGATCCTTCTTGCTCACATTTGGGGTAGTTTCATCAAAAAAGTGTCATTCTTAAAATGTGTCAGTATCTCCTTTGAGATCAGTGCCAATACCAGCGAAATAAAAAAAATACGTTGATCTGTTTTTGCTCATATTGGGTTAGTTCCATCAAAAAAGTGTCAATCATTAGTTATTTTTGAAAATCAAAGAAGTTTAAGCCATATTTTTTTTGAGAATATTTTAGAAAATTTTAGTCGTTTTTTTTTCGGTATTCTCAAGCAGCACTTTTTCAATAGTCTGTTGGCCCCAATTGAAAGTGGCTATTATTCCCAGATGAAAGAATTTCGATCATCTATTGATCGAATAAGCAGCGCATTTTCCATAAGTGCAACATTTTTTACCTTTTTTCGGATTTTCTCAGCGCGATAGAAATTGGAGAAACATTGATTTTTCTTACAATAACATATCAAGTAGTGCTTATGATTTGGTTATGCTCCAAATTGATCCTCGTTCCGTGCATATAGATTCGCTTAAGTCATCAAAGGTTTGCTTTTGCTTCTGTTTATTATGGTTTACCCTTGCGATAGCAAGGGTAATGCAATCGGGTACTGCACTTTTTTCTGCACCGTAAACAACTTTGTCTACAGATATCAGCATGCATGCAGTAAACTTCAGCACTTCACAGGTTTTAGCATGCATGCAGTCGGCTTAGTTTCTGTTTTGTTTTTACCATCCAACTAAATAGTCTATTTGAATTTAAGTTTTTTAACAATATAGTTGCTTTTAGTGTTCTGATTTACCTCTGCTGTTTCTCTGTAATTTTTTCAACCTTGACATCGTATATATTTCTTTTTTGTTTTCGTTTTCGATTAAAAGTTTTATTCTGCCCAATTAATTTCCGTCTATATTTTATCGGCTTAGTGACCTAATTTCGAGTTGTTTCAAGGGATTGAACAAAATGTTAAACATCTTAATAGAAATTGTAATTCAAATTTTTCATGACAACGATTTTTTCCTTGCCTTGTTTTTTTTTCTTTTTTTTTCGGGTTGATAGATTTTGGTTTATTATATATCGGCCTCATATTACGTCCTTTGACTAGCGAAAAAAGTGTGCGTGTGTGTGTGTTTGCGTGTCTGTGTTTTGAGGGCGAGGGGGGGCGTAATAACTTCTTATTAGTCTTAACTTTTTTTTCTTCATTTTTTTGACTTCGTTTTTTTTTGGGCTTTCTAGTTTTCGGGCTATATTAAATCGTGTTAGCTGTCTCATGTTGGTTCAATAAACGGCCAATTAATGTTTTCTGTTTGTTTGTTTTGAGGGCGAGGGGGACTTTTCATAAGTGTTAAATCTTGTTGATTTTTTTTCGGCTTAAAAGCTTTCTGCCAAGGTATTTGTTAACGCTTGGTTAATTATCATTTTTTTTTTCAGGTGATCGTGGACGAGTCTGAGTCCAACAAAATGACCAGTCGCAACATTGCTCTTGTCATAGCGCCCAACTGTCTCTGGTCTCAATCCAGGGACCCCCAGACCTTATTGCAGAATTCACAGTGCGAGGCAGCTGTCATCCAGGCACTGATTGAGTCTATGGCCAGCACTAAGGAGATTAAGGATGATATTCTGCAAAACTTCAGCATCTGAACTCAGCAACTCCAGCAAAAAACGGGAGTTGTTGGATGACACATGGAGCTTAAAGAGCGTTTTTGTGCGTTTTGAGTTTCAGCTTCTATGCAGAAGAAGTAAGGAAGAGCTATTTTGCAATAATTTAGTCGGGAAGCTTCTTAGCTGGAATCGAGCCTCAATTATGATGATCGGATAAACAACGCAGTGCTCATATTGTATTGTAGAAAAACGAAAAAGATAAACGGCGAAGAGAATTTTTGAACAAAATGTCCCTATGAAAAATAAAAACATAATAAACTTCCAATTTTCATAAAATTCGAAACATTGAATAAAACTTAATTCTTGATTTCAAATTTTAAATAATTGTTCATTAAATCGATAATAACTCGCGGAGATTAATTTCAATGCTAATTTTTAATTTGTAAGATTTGAGTTCATTAACTGGTGCAGATTTGTACAACAATTTGTAATTTACTAACAAATATACTACATAGCTTTAGATGAATAACAAATCAGGTAATTTACTTTTTAAAATTAAAAAAAGAAGTGTTCTCGACTGATTTGATTTTCTAAAACTGAATGTTTCAGTAGAAAAGGTAGATGTGTACGAATATTGAAGCATTATAGCAAATCAACAAATCATAATAGATCGAAAAACATCGAACTTTCAAAGTTCTAACTATTATGCTAAAACAGCAAAGCAAAAAAATTGTTACTTGTTTCAATACATCTATCTGTGTTAATACGATTGAAGTATTGGAAAAAAAAACTATCTTGAAAGATTGGTTTTATCATTGTATACGAACTCAATTTTTTTTGTAGGATCTCAAACTTAATAGTCCAGGACGCTCGACAAATTTGAGATATGACAAAAATTAGACTGAGAAACTGTGATAGACGAAATAAAATGTCTTTTTCAGACCAATTTGAGGGAAGGAAACATGAGGGAAAATAAAGCAAGGTCATTTATTTAACACAAATGGTTACTCTCATAAGATAGTTTTTTTCTCGTAAAAACTGCTGAAGTTGTAAAAAAAACATTCATATGATGATAATGGTTATCGATAATTGTAATGAATGTCAAAGCTTCCACGATTTTAAGAGTCAATAAAAGTTATTCAGACTCATATATAGGTCGTGATCTTTTTTAAAAGTTTTTTTCATACGACAGTCTTAAATTTGTTCAGGAGCAACTGTAGTTTGACTTGATTTATTGAGTGCAATTCATTTTATTTATGAAAGAAAGGAGAAATCAAATACCGACCAGCAAATCTGTAATGCGCACAAGAAATGTGATCAACTTATGGTTTCGAAAAGTGAATTAATTTTTTCTTGCGAAATAAAGATCAATTACTTATTGATTCAGTATTGTCAAATTGTGTCAATGATATCAAAAAATGTAATCATAAATTTTTCTAGAATTTCGAATAGCTGTAAGACTTTTTTTTCTCCTCATTTCGAGAGCTGAGGTGTCTTCAAAGAACAAAAGGATAATTTTTAAAATAGTGAGAGTGGTGCACTCAAAGGTTTTGGTTTTTTTTTCACGAAGTCTTAAACTTTAATCACGCAAATTTGAATTTTCGGTGTTCAACCTTTCTTTTCTCGGTGTTCAAATGAAGTTAACTTCATTTACTTTGTTGAAAGGAAGATAAACTCCACTATCGAACATCAAGAGTTTAGAGGTCAGGAAAAACAAGTTCCACTTCTAGGTTCGAAAATGGAATTCAATCAGTTTTTCCAGCGAATTGATTGAAATTAAATACCAGATTCAACGACTTGAAAACTCTAATAAATTGATAATAACTTCGCGGTGACTACATTCAAGGCTAATCGTTATTCCGATTTATTACATATCACTTATTTTTGCAGATACGTACGGCAGTTTGTTGTATGCTAAAGAATAAAGCAAATACTTTCAGACGAATAACAGATCAGGTAGTTTACTTTCTATTTCACAAAACCAAAACATGGCGACCGGTAAAACATTCTGGATACAACTTTGTGCTAAAAAATTGATTAACTGGTATTGGTCTATGTAGGGCTGATAGTACTAATCAGATCAAAAATCGAAAAAAAAATCAACCAATTTAATTTAAACTATTCCACATAAAAAAAGCCATGATCCCTTACTGGGCAGTTGATCTGTTCTTGAATACCATCTACCTCTGTTAACCGTCAAACGAGCCATGTTTTTGAAACAAATTTGAACAGTTAAGTTGTCTCGACGAAACAAACGCAAATTGTTGGCGGAATCATAAACTAAATAGTCCGGGATCTTCAAAACGTTCGTTCAATTTTTCTAAATTTCTTCAATCCGTTTAATACAACGTATTTCTGAAAAGTGAGTGTCTTTGAACGATATTTTCCATTAAGCTGAGTTTTGATTCATAATCACTCACAAAGGTTATTTTGCTTTTGTAACAATTACCCAAATTTTAATATGCGTTTTCTTTTCGTTGAAACAGTCCATGAAAAAAATATCCATCGCAATTTGCTCAACAAACACTCGAATTAAAATTTGAGCAATTGCAAATAAGTGAGCTAAAAAATGAGTGGCTATCATAATATTAACCATTTTGTCGTAAAAACCAATTAGGAATGTAGCAGTCCTAATGTATCTAACAGATGGAAATCAAATAGTGTACCAATTTTAACACATTCTAACAAAAACTACACATCATCCTTATCATCATCACTGGGTTATTTAGTGCACTCTTTCTGGAACTCGAAACTGTCATGGCCTTCTTCTCTAGAAACATCGTTTGATCTTGCTCTCTCGCTCTTGAAGTGAGCTTGAATTATCTTGAAATTGTTTGCCCTTGAACACCGCGTACTATATAACCATCCTCAGTCCTTAAAGTCGACTTTAATTAATACGATTAAGTACTGAAGAGTGAAGTCCAGAACTACCTCTAAAAATGAGCTTAGATTTTAGTCTGCTAAAATTAAAGCAACGCAAATCTTTCTCGACATTAACGGCGAGCTGAGGTTGCCCAATCGATTAAAAAAAAGAGAAAGTACACCTGACACTAATGGTGAGTTTAGGTTATAAAACAATTTGAAAAACCCGAATAAAAGTCCTAAAACTTCTTTAAACAGTTCCAGAAGTCTCTCTAGAGCTTCGGTAGTCCCTCTGGTGCCGGGTGCAAGCCGTCATCTGAGGCATTTTTGGAAGAGAATTTTTTCGGCCAAAGAGTTTGCAGTCCATAACGCCGCGTAAGTTTTCTATATGCTATGTGCAATCGGCGAATACGGTCGTGTTTTTCATTGCGACTAATCAGGCACATTATCGCGGTCTTCACTCGAAGGCATAGATACCTGTTGATAAGTAACCCAATTTCGCCTACCCTTCCAATGGACAACATAAGCGTTTGTTGTTGTTTTTTGAATATTTTGTCTGCCCCACCCAATATAATCAGTCACCTTAAACCAAGCCTCACTGTTTGATTGACTATACCATCTAAGCAGAGATTCGAAATTTGGCACCCGGAAATGAAACTGTGCGAACGTCTTTCAAGAAAACACAAAAACCTGCAAAGAACCTAATATGCAATCCCGCAATGACATGGCGGTTTTTCTTCCATCTGTAGTGAGCAAGCGGTGTTTGCGTCTTTCCTTAGTGATAACTTTCTAATTTTCTTTGTCATTTTATTACAAAACTTACGCATGTTAACAAAACTGAAAAGCAGGGGAGCAATGAGGTAACTGAACGATAATTTCAAAGAAAAAACTAGCTTCAAAAATAACTCTTAAATAAAAATGACTCTAAAACGCTTCCCAATTGCTCTACTTCCGAAATTTTTTAAAGATTTAGTGAAAAATTATTCCATCTTCTGGAGCCAAGACAAAAAAAAATTGCAAGCCGTAGCTATATTTCGTTGATGGAGCGCAATTCAATTTATTGCGGTTTGAACCAGAGCTGAGCTCAAAGGCAGCTAAAAGGTCGTCTATCTTTTGGGCCAATTGATTGCTTTGTGCTTATGTGTCAAACCCTCTTTATTGCTCTTCAATCGGAAGCCAATGTAGGTCATGTAGATAACTAGGATGTTATTCCAGTTTCCTAGCCCATGAACAAACTGACAGGCAGCATTCTGAAATCATGCCGTAATTTCTGCTCAGATAATCTGGTAAACTGACTGTTGCAATAATTCAGTCGCGTAGGAATCAAGTTCCTGAAAACAAATGACAGTTTTCCAAACTAATATAGTATCTAACACTATAAAACTTACGCATTTGAAAATGACAAGAGCTGCTAACAAAAATAACTCGTTTGAATAAGGTCGATTCAGCGTCCATTAGAACTCCAAGAATACGGAAAGAACTTAACACATTCTAACAAAAACTACACATCATCCTCATCATCATCACTGGGTTATTTAGTGCACTCTTTCTGGAACTCGAAACTATCAAGGCCTTCTTCTCTAGAAACATCGTTTGATCTTGCTCTCTCGCTCTTGAAGTGAGCTTGAATTATCTTGAAATTGTTTGCCCTTGAACACCGCGTACTATATAACCATCCTCAGTCCTTAAAGTCGACTTGAATTAATACGATTAAGTACTGAAGAGTGAAGTCCAGAACAACCTCTAAAAATGAGCTTAGATTTTAGTCTGCTAAAATTAAAGCAACGCAAATTTTTCTCGACATTAACGGCGAGCTGAGGTTGCCCAATCGATTTAAAAAAAGAGAAAGTACACCTGACACTAATGGTGAGTTTAGGTTATAAAACAATTTGAAAAACCCAAATAAAAGTCCTAAAACTTCTTTAAACAGTTCCAGAAGTCTCTCTAGAGCTTCGGTAGTCCCTCTGGTGCCGGGTGCAAGCCGTCATCTGAGGCATTTTTGGAAGAGAATTTTTTCGGCCAAAGAGTTTGCAGTCCATAACGCCGCGTAAGTTTTCTATATGCTATGTGCAATCGGCGAATACGGCCGTGTTTTTCATTGCGACTAATCAGGCACATTATCGCGGTCTTCACTCGAAGGCATAGATACCTGTTGATAAGTAACCCAATTTCGCCTACCCTTCCAATGGACAACATAAGCGTTTGTTGTTGTTTTTTGAATATTTTGTCTGCCCCACCCAATATAATCAGTCACCTTAAACCAAGCCTCACTGTTTGATTGACTATACCATCTAAGCAGAGATTCGAAATTTGGCACCCGGAAATGAAACTGTGCGAATGTCTTTCAAGAAGACACAAAAACCTGCAAAGAACCTAATATGCAATCCCGCAATGACATGGCGGTTTTTCTTCCATCTTTAGTGAGCAAGCGGTGTTTGGGTCTTCGTGATATTTTTCTAGTTTTTTTTTGTCATTTTAGTACCAAACTTACGCATGTTAACAAAACTGAAAAGCAGGGGAGCAATGAGGTAACTGGACGATAATTTCAAAAAAAATAGCTTCAAAAATAACGCTCGAATAAAAATGACTCTAAAACGCTTTCCAATTGCTCTAATTTCGAAATTTTTTCAAGATCTAGTGAAAGATTA